AATCTCTTGACCTTGTGATCCACCCACCTGTCCCCAGCTTTTTTGACACCAGGGACTGGTTTCATGGAAGACAATTTTCCCATGGATGGTGGCAGGATGGGGGGATGGTTTCAGGATGAAACATCCCTATCACAGATCATCAGGCATTAGTTAGATTCACATAAGGAGTGCGCATTCTAGATCCCTTTTCTGCACACTTCACAATAGGGTTCACACTCCTATGAGAATCTAACACCATCGTGGATCTCGCTTACCCACCAGTCACCTCCTGCTGTGCAGCCTGGTTCCTAGCAGGCCATGGCCTGGTGCCAGTTGGGGACCCCGGCCCAAGGGATGCGGCAAACCCTCACCTCTGTGAGCCTGTCTGTGAGATGGCTCATGGGTGTGAGATTGTGTTGGGGCCCCCAAGACCACCCTCAGGCTTAATGATCGGCTCAAAGGACTTATAAGACCCGGAAGAGTAATGAATTGCTCATGGTTACAATTCATTACAGTCAAAGGACAGGGATTACAGTTAACAAAGGAAAAGGCGCATCAGCAAAGTCCAGATGCCAGGCGCCAGCCCCCAGGTATCCCCTCCAGCAGGGTCACACGGGGATGCCGTTAATGTTCTCAGAAATGGTGTAACTCCGAGGCTGGCAGCACATGCCAAATACTGCCAACCGGAGATGCTCACCCAAGCTTTGGTGTCCATGTTTTGACTGGGGTCAGTGGTGTAGGTATGCAGCTCCCACACGAGTGACACTAGCTGCTTTACCACCCCAGAAGCCAAATCAATACCGTGTGGCCCAAGACTTCAGGCATTTAAAAAAAAAAAAAAAAAGTCTTATCAGGTGGAATATTCCAAGGGCTTAGAGGTTATCTTTCAGGAGCTGGCCAAGGGCCTGTCTTTGGCATGTGCAGGGTTTGAGCAATTCAGGCCTGCTGCACACATATATTCATTAATAAACAGAATATGCTCACATGCTTCAAGATCTAAAATTTAATCTACGAGTCAGGGCTGTGGAAGGCTTCACAAATCCTCACTGAAACTCATTCTCAAATCTAAGGATTTCAGAAAACAAAACGTACTTCGGGAGCTTGGTGTGTTAATTAGCTGGTTTTTACACTGACCAGCACTCACAACTCCTATACTATCCCAGGAAAATCCCAACCTTGTATTCACCCATTATACTAACCCAATCAGCTATGTTTTCTTTTCCAAGCCAAACTGTATCCAGCTTTATTAAAGATACGTTCCAGAAGCAATCATGGTATTTCATGCAGGACGTGGGCAGACGATGGTTAACAGTATACGACAGCTTCCAAACTCCCTGCTTTGATGGATGCCCAAAAATCAGAAAGCCACTGTAAAACCCAAGGAGGTCCTCATCTGATGCCCTGAACAGGGAAAGTTTAAAGTGAGGGTTGACATTTCACATTTAGCATGTTGTTTAACAACTTTTCACAAGTCGACCCTGACTTTCAGGAAGTGAAATGAAAATGGCAGAATGTATCTGAAGATCCACAATCTAGAAACGGAACCACTGCTCTTTTGAGGGGTGCCATCTCAGTGGCATCACCAGGGACAAACCTGAAGCCCAACAGAGTCAGCTTTATTGACCCCTCACAACAAGAGAGTCCGCGGCACCAGAGAAAGCATGGGGTGTCTCTCCAAACAAAAGAGAAGATAGGCTTGTGGGATTGGGGGGAAGGATACAGTTGAGGTGAAATTTAAAGAGAGCAGGGTTGTGATAGGCTGAAAGCAGAGCATGGCTGTGTCACAGGGGTCACATCAGCAATTTGAAGTGGACCCAGAAGTCCCATTTCCTTGAAAACTCCAAAGTTTAGATGTGGAATGTGATGTCCAGAAAGCCTTGATCTGACATTCCATACCAGGTTGGAAATCAATGCCGCTTCTGTTTCAAGGTGACTCGTTGCAAGGATACACCTATGAACTGTGTAGTTATAATTTCCTTCTCATATATGATAATGGTCTCCTGTTTACTTGTAGTAAAGTACTATTTGATCCCCTGAAACAGCTGTTTTTTGAGGGGAGGTTGCTAACGAAACAGGAAGGCTGTCTCCCCCAGGAGTCTCTGCAAACTGGGGAACTGTGTGATACCCCAGAGCATTGGTTTGGGGTATTTTTTTTCTTTTCTTCTGATACTTGTATCTAAAAGTACAAAGTTTGGAACCTCTCACAAAATTAGCACAGGAAAAATCTTTCATGACAGCTTCTAAAGTTTTTATCTTTTTCAAAGCATTGGCTTAGTGGCTTTTGAGAATAGAATTTAAGTCTTCGGTTCTTCTTGGGGGCTGGAGCTTTTCCTGCCTGGAAACTCTGCAATTCCATAATGATTTGGTAACTGGAGTGTTGATTTATAGAGGTTTTATTGTGCAAATTTTACTGTGCTCATACTTAATACATGTGCAAAGAATGTGGACTGTAGATTCATTGGACCAACTTCTTTTATACACTTTGTGAGGAAAAATTAAATGCCTATAAAATATGTCTTGACAGAGGCAGAAAGCTAGAAATAATTCTGCATTAAGGCCAAAACCATTCTAGTGAGACTCTGTCTGTGATATTATAGAGGTAAACCGTATGTAATGTAATTGATATAGGAACCTGAGATCAAAATGTATTATTATTAAAATATTCAACCTTTAGGTAGTGGTGTGATGCCCATCAAAGGAACCAGATACATTCAGAACTAGGTGAAAACAGGGAAAGTCATAAAAAGAATTAATATTTTATTTTTATTTTATTTTTTCAGACAGAGTCTCACTCTGTAGCCCAGGCTGGAGTGCAGTGACACATTCATGGCTCACTGCAACCTCCACTTCCTGGGTGCCAGTTCTCAGGCAATTCTCCTCCCTCAGACTCCCAAGTAGCTGGGACTACAGGCGCACGCCACCATACCCGGCTAATTTTTGCATTTTTAGTAGAGAAGGGGTTTCACCATATTGGCCAGGCTGGCCTTGAACTTCTGACCTTGTGATCCACCCGTCTCGGCCTCCCAAAGTGCTGGGATTACAGGTGTGAGCCGCCGCGCCCAGCCCGCTGTGTTTTTCTACCAAGGGTGGCATGTAGAGAAGATTCTCTTTCACCCTGTCCAGAGCCCATAAGGCCTTTCATTGTGGGCTGGATGAGATGAGGGCAAGAGCATGTACCGTTTCCCCGTGCATCCTCCAGCTGCTCCCACGATCTCTCTAATGGAGCAAACTCATAACCAAAGGTTCCAGTTTTTGCCCCCACAACCCACCCCAGGCTGTGTGATCCGCGCTGAGGTATGGAGGTGACATTTAAATGAAGCAGAGTAAAAGCAGGTAAACAAATAGGCTAAAAGCAAAACATAGCTGTGTTACTACCTCACTGTACTCTGGTATCTGGCCAGCACAATCCTGCTCATATTCCAAGCTTTGAGACACCACCTCTGCAAAGCCTTCCTGATTCTGCAAAGAACAGGTATGCACTTCATCCTTGGGACCTCACAGCCATTCAATACACATTTCTTTCCCAGCCCTGCTTGGCTTGGCTGTCTCCATGAATATACACTTTGCAACCTCCGCACCTGGCATCATACCAAGCGCACAGTAGGCACTCCTGTGTTTCTTGAAAAAATGAATATATCAT